TTATACTGATAACCTCCAAACTGAAATTTTTCTGATAAGAGATGTTTTCAGTTTTCTGTTTACATGTTCCTGTCTTATAATCATCATCTTTAAACACATAATAAAAAATGCCCTGACAGTCTTGATATAAAAGAGCAAGGCATATTCGTTAGGCTAAAGTACTTCATATAGCAAAAAGCAGATTGCTCTGTCCATTGCTAAATATTTTCCTCAAAGAATTAACCAAACTCTTCTCTTTTTTTTTTTTTTTCCGGTGCCGGTATTGAGCTTGCCAGACAGGCGTGGTGCTACTGAGCTATATCCTCATCTCCTGTTCTAAGTCTTAGTTATCCACAATTGTGATTTTTTTTTTCCTTTCAAATTATTTACAGCCAGATTCATCAAAAGCACTCTAATAAGTACCCTTGTGTGCAGTTTTCTAAACAATGCTGGACTTAACAACTGTGTTTCTTGGTTCAAGACTAGTGGACTAAGTAAATTTGATCTTGTTCTTATTAGTTTTTTTATAGTTTCCTTGTAAAACTTTATACCTGTTGTCTACTAACATACAGAAAAAGATGACTTCCCTGAAATAACTTAAACAGAATGTGAAAATAGCAAGCCACCAGCTATAGAACTGATGGATGTTAACTCCCAATATTAACACTAAACAGTATTAATAAAAGGGTAGCTATCCTCCTGTTTCATTTTACATTTCAAAGGGCCCCAACCCCCAGAAAGAACCACAATAATCAAGACTAAGGCCCACTGCTCCCACTACAAGACTATTGTCACCACTCTGGATGAAGTGAGGCTTAAGGCCAACATTTAAGAAGATGGGAAGGGGATGAGGACAGCCAATAGTTTGGCCTTTGCCCTCCACTGTCAGCTGGGGGGACCCCTCTAAGATGACCCTACAATTCTGGGGAGTCACCCAACCTCCCAAGCTGGGGGACTCTTGGGCCCCAGAGGACAGGAGTCAATCAGCATACATTCTGCAGAAAGAGTGTTACTGAAGAGGAGAATGTCCCAATGCTTCTAAGTGAAGTAAAAACACAACTCATCCTGACAGATGACACAGCTAGTAGAAGGGAAAAGTAGAGGTGCTGAAGGCTCCTGACACAGCCCCTTAAGAAATCTTCCAGGAACCTTGACTGATCCTGACAAACAGATTTGTTTTGATTAATACAACTTTTTTTTTTTTTTTGGTACGGGGGATGGAACTCGGGTCCTTGTCCTTGCGCAGCAGGTGTTGATTAATACAGCTTTTATTTTGACCTGTTTTTTTCCCCAGTGGTGGGAATTGAACTCTGATCCTTGTGGATGTTTGGCAAGCACTTTACCACTGAGCTACATCCCCAGTCCTTGACTTGGACACCTAGCAGAAAAGTATAACCAAAAAGTAAAATAACTAATAGTAATATAAAAGAGTAAAGTGGATCTTAAAAGGGGCTGCAAACCCTGTATCGGCTGTGACTGGCCATCTCCAAGTCCACCTATGACATCTTAACCTATAGCCATGCAAGGGCCACCCTCCAGCCCCACTAGCTTCTGCTGTTCAGCGTGCTTGCAGAATTTGTCTTGCACCCTTCTCCAGATCCAAGTCAGGGTGGTGCTCACCTGTACCATTACCAAAACAAAATAGTTTGTGCACGATTGAGACAACTCTAAATTTCAACTTCTACAAGACCTAGGTTCACAAATCAGTGCAGTGTCATGAGCTAATGGCACATGCTTCTTACTGATATCCTGATTTTCTCAAAACAACCTGACCATCAAAGGATGATGTTTCTTCAAAATACAAAAACCCCAGCCTTCTACACAGTGTGGTGGCGCACATGTGTAATTCCAGCAGTCAGGGAGGCTGAGGCTGGTGGATGATTATGAGGTTTTTTATAAAAATTTTTATATAATAACTTTTTCGTCGGCATCGTTTATGGTCGGAACTACGACGGTATCTGATCATCTTTGAACCTCCGACTTTCGTTTTTGATGAATGAAAACATTTTTGGCAAATGCTTTCGCTCTGGTCCGTCTTGCGCCTGTCCAAGAATTTCACCTTGAATTTCACCTCTAGCGGCGCAATACGAATGCCCTGGGCCGTCCCTCTTAATCATGGCCTCAGTTCCAAAAACCAACAAAATAGAACCGCGGTCCTATTCCATTATTCCTAGCTGCAGTATGCAGGCGGCTCCGGCTTGCTTTGAACACTCTAATTTTTTCAAAGTAAACGCTTCGGGCCCCGCGGGACACTCAGCTAAGGGCATGGAGGGGGCGCCGAGAGGCAAGGGGCGGGGACGGGCGGTGGCTTGCCTCCCGGCGGACTGCCCGGCCGCTCCCAAGATCCAACTATGAGCTTTTTAACTACAGCAACTTTAATATACGCTATTGGAACTGGAATTACCACGGCTGCTGGCACCAGACTTGCCCTCCAATGGATCCTCGCGGAAGGATTTAAAGTGGACTCATTCCAATTACAGGCCCTCGAGAGAGTCCTGTATTGTTATTTTACCTCACTACCTCCCTGAGTTGGGAGTGGGTGATTTGCGCACCTGCTGCCTTCCTTGGATGTGGTATCCGTTTCTCAGGCTCCCTCTCCGGAATCGAACCCTGATTCCCCATCACCCGTGGTCACCATGGTAGGCACGGCGACTACCATCGAATGTTGATAGGGCAGACATTCCAATGGGTTGTCACCGCCACCGGGGGCGTGCGATCGGCCTGAGGTTATCTAGAGTCACGAAAGCCGCCTGCGCCCGCCCCTGGCTGGGGCGGGGGTGGGGGGGGAAGCTCAACGGGTTGGTTTTGAATGGATGATTATGAGTTTGACGCTACCCTGAAGTAATGAGACCTTGTCTCATAAATACAAAACAACAAAAACAAAAATAGACCAATCTTCTTACATCTCTTGTAAATCAGTCACATTGGGACTTTGATTGTTAACTAGGCAGAGTAAACACTGTTGAAATCCTGCCTAATAACTCTCTTTATGCCTCTCACAGATGTGTCCTGAAAATTCTTTTCCTGTGATGGAAGTCAATGAACCTACCCCATGGGTGGGGTGAGCTGGGGTCTCCAACTCCTCTTTGGGGGACCTCCTCAGACTCTATCCAAGGACAATGAGACAGTGGGGCTCTGGTTTGCTCCTGTGCTCCAGGACCCGTGCTCATTTCCTGTGTCACCTGGAGTCGCCAAGCTGCCCTTTCCCGGGCTGCTGTGCTTCTGTTCAGCTCTGTGCTCTTTACTGTGCCTGGAGCAAGAGCTCTGACCTCTCATGGCTCTTCTTACCCGGGCACCTTTGCTCCTATATAGATGCATA